GCCTATGCAGTCAACAAGTATCGCAAAGGACAAAAAAGAACATGATCGATACTCAACTTGAAATCTCTCGCATGTTGATGATTCATTAGGTGGACAGCAAGCAATTTATCTTTTTCCGCTGGTTACTTTATTAGTTGGCAAGTTGTTTTGTACTTTTATATTTTAATTATGCATAGGACCGCAGCTTATATTTCATTATTTCATGAGAATGACCCTGTCCCTGTTTCACAATAATAATAATAATAATTGATACGTCATCACAAAATAATCTTGATTGGGCACGAATCTAGAGGCAAAATCAGTTCGGAAACTTCAAAAATTAATTTCGGGAGCATATGAATTCCAATTTCAGCGAGCTTACAGTCAAACTGAGTGTCTCAGAAATACAAACCCAACGACACCAAGATCAACCCAATCCGAGCCCAAATGAGTCCGAATCAAGGGTTCAAAGCGCTGTTGGAAGGTTCAAATCGCAATTTGAGTTACCAAACGGTCTCCGATTTTGACGAGATAATAATAATAATTATTATTATTATAAGAATTTTAAGTTAAATAGTTGTATGAGTTCAGATTATATCAGAATATTTTGATATAAGTTATTATTATTTTCAATTAATAAATCTAAATTTCTTATATGTAGCAATAATTTAAAAACCAATTCACTATTTTTTTTATTATAGATTTTTTATTTTAATCTTATAGCTAGAATTAAGAGATTTTGAGATATTTGTAAATAATATAATTCTTTGATGATGTGGTGGCGTGCTTAAAGAAGAGGACAAGGATGGTTTTGGCTATATATATATAATCATGGTTGAATATAAAGGTTGGGGGAGGAAGGGGAGTTCTATTTGAAGTTTTCATTTGGGGGAGATGGGAGCGAGGAATAGTAGAGGCGGCTTCCATTCATCTATTTTAATCAAGCACGAAAGAAAATTGAGGGATAAGGTGTCAATTCGTATAGAATATACAAAAAATTATTCCTTCATTTGACATTCATTTTCACTATATATCATTATTTAAAAAAGAAAAAAAGAAAAATTGTTCTTCCACTTAGAAGATTAATCATTCTCTTCTAATTAAGTATCTACTTAAATCTAATTCATATGTGATGTTTTAAGTAATAAATAATTAAATATCTTGGGTTTGATTAAATTAGATGTAAGTTTTTGATAAGTCACCTAAAGTAGTCTTGATCAAGCACGATTTTGATATAAATATGAGGTTGATGCTTTAAAAATTAAAATGGGTACCATCTGATATCCGATTTTAGCAATCTTATAGCCAAATTGATCTGCACGGGAAAATGAACCAATCAACACCAAAATTAGTCTAATATCCGAGCCCAAATGAGCACAAATCAAGGATCCAAAGCATACATGGAGGATTTAAAGCATTATTTGGATAAATCAATAATCATCGAATATGGCATGTTTATAGTCAAATCAAGGGGCTCAACGAGACGGATCCAATGAGTGCAAGATCAACAAATTCTGACACCATTAAGATACTTAAATGTTAGATCAACAGTCTATAATCAAGGGAATCAACATAAGCCACATATTCTAACACTCCCATCTTTACCTTGATCATCCCTCATATTTATAAGTCATGCAACTCCCAAAAAATTATAAATAGCCCCCCATTCTTCAATGAAGGGGAGGAGAAAGAAGAAAAAATTTTGGGGAGCTCTCTTGTCATTGACCATTGCGGGAGTTCTTCCTGACCATCATTGGAGTTCTTCCCGCTTATTACCGGAGTTCTTCCCGACCATCTTCGGAGATCTCCTGGAACCAACCATTGATGGAGTTCTTTCTGACCACCATCGGGGTTCTTCCCGACCATCACTAGAGTTCTTCCCAACTGTCGCTAGCTAGAGTTCTTCCCGACCGTCATTAAAACTCTCTTGTAACCGACCATTGTCGGAGTTTTTCCCAGCCACCGCCGGAGTTCTTCCTAACCATCGTCATAGTTCTTCCTGATCGTTGCCGAAGTTCTTCCCGACCGCCATTACAGTTCTTCCCAACCACTGTCAGAGTTCTTCTCGACCAATGTTAGACTTCCGCCCATTTGTTAACCACCGCCGGAGTTTCTTAGAGTATTATTTCTACCTTCTAGAATAATATAACATTTTTAACGTATTACTCAATTATTAAAAAAAATTAAAATAAAATCTATATTTATCTTTCAAATTTATAAAAATATTTAATTTTTTTCTTTGAGGTAGTACAATATTCCTATATATGTATAATTCTGCTAATAAATATCCCCATATATGTATTGTTGTGTCCTGGAATATTCACAGCGGTAGAGAACTCCGACCGTTAGGTGGTGGTCTGGTGGAACTCCAAGCGTCAGGTGATGGTCCGGCGGAACTTCAGGAGTCAGGTCCCGACGGAACTCCGGGTGTCAGGTGGTGGCCCGACGAAACTCTGGGCGGTGGTCGAGGATGAGCGAAGAGGCAAGAGCGGTCTCCGATCTCCCTCTTGCTCTCTTTCTTGGGGTCCCTTTTCAAGAGGAATGAGGGGTCTATTTATAGATTTCCTAGAGTGGCATGACCCGTAAATAGGAGGAAGATCAAGGGTAGATAGGGAGTGGTTTGGATGGACGGCCTATGTTGAATCCCTTGATTGTGGATCGTTTGATGGGGATTTGAATGCCTTAGTGATATCAAAATTTAGTGATATTGGGCTTGTTGGATTCGTCTCGTCGAGCCACTCGATTCAATTATGAGCATGTTTTGTTTGGAAGCTGTTCGGTAATCCAAATTGTGGTTTGAACATTCCAAATGTGCTTTAGTCCCTTGATTTGGACCCATTTGGGATCGGACTGAGCCGAATTTGGTGTTGTTGGATTTATATTTTCGAGATGTTCAGTTCAATTATAAGTTTGCTAAAATCGTAGTTTTGATGGTCCAAGATTTAATTTTGGAAGCTTGCAACTCAATTTTGACTCGAAATTCGTGCCCAATCAAGATAATTTTTTTGATGCTATACAGTTTGCTTATAATTGTTCTGTTATCCTTAGGATGTCAATAGTAATACCCCCCTCTCTAATTGGCTTTCCAGAAGGTACTCCTCTCCCTGCTACTACTTCTAAATTCTGGAAATCCATTTGTAGGACTGCTTATGAAGCTAAATCTTGCTTTATTTTTAAAATTATTGGGAATGCTCCTATCTCTTTTGTATGGGATCATTGGTGTCATAATTTGACACTCAGGGAATATATGGGTGGTGCTATCTCTTTTGCTGACTATCAATTAGGTTCTTTGTATTATGACTCTCATTGGAATTTGTCGGAATTTACACCTGTGCAGCTGAGACTTTTATTTGAACAAGCTTCTGATATTGATGCTACATGCTTATTTTGGAATGATAGAGCTAATTCCAAATTCAAACACTACATTGAACAGTTTTGCTCTGATTTACCAAATTCTAATTGGATTAAAGCCATTTGGCACAAAGGGAATTAACTTAAACACAATGTTTTTGTTTGGCTAGCTCTTGTTGGAGGTCTTAAAACTGCGGATGCCCTTAGAGTTAGACATATTAATGTGCCAAGTAAATGCAGTCTCTGTCACGCTTTTGATGAAACTATTTCTCATCTCTTTTTTGAATGTCCTTACTCCATATATGTGTTGAATGTTGTTATTCCTGATTTCAAAAGTCTGCTTCTAAGACATTCTTTGCTGCACCTTTTTGCTTGGGTGAATGATACGTATAAAGGCAACAAAATGGTTAAATTTTTTTACAAGTTACTGGTTTGCTGTTCTATTTACTACATTTGGAAGGAGAGGAATTCTAGGAGATTTGGGGGAATTATGCAAAGTTCTGTCACTATCTCTTTGGTGATTAAAAAAGTGGTCTTTGAGAAGGTTTTAAAATGGAGAAATTCTTTCTATCTACTGGAGCTGTTATAGTCTGGCTGGGACTTATATTTTTGGTCCCTTTTCTTGCGGAGGGTGGTGTGCAGATCCTGTATTTGCAACAGTTTTGGCCTACCTGCAAAAAGGTGTTTGAATTTTATAAAAAATAAATAAATAAATAGGTAATATTACTAATAAGTTTATAAAAAATAAATAAATAAAATTTAGCAAAAACTTATATTTCATTTTCATAGGAGACTTGTGAAGTTTATAATAAATAGGTAATATTACTAATAAGTTATATATGTTTGAAATTTTATAAATATATATTATACATTAATTAGTTGCCATCGAAAATTTAAGTCAATTAAACTTATTGCTTATATAACATCTCATTTAATTTTGTATGAAATATCATATAGAGACTATATATTATATTATATTTTAATGATGAATTAAAATAAAATAAATATAATTAATGTATAAATGGGATTGTGGTCCTCAATTTAAACAATTGATTCTCATTTTCTTCATTCCTTATCACGAGGAAAAAATGGTCTCTTGCTCTATGGAGAATACCGTTTCAAACATAAAAGATCGAAAACTACAATTATGCATTTCAATGAATTTATGTATGTATGTTAACGGTAATTCATTTAGGCTTCATTTTGAAAGAATTTTTAATTGCTTTTTTAAACGAATTTTTAGCTTAAAGTTTTTAATTTTTATACTAAAATTCTGTTTTACGAATCAATAAAAAAATAGTCCCAGAAGCCTTAGATTATTTGACATAAAATTTGAGATTTACCTTTGAATGTTGGTATTTCATTATTTATTTGACTATGTTTGAAGAGTGGACCATTGACATTTTATAGCTATCCCTTTCAGTTTCTATGTCTCTCCTATGGTATCAGTGAGTACTATTACATCCGTTCCTTTAATGGAATAAACAAAACTCAATTGGACGACCGATCGGCCATTGAAGTAAATAAATTGTCGGTACACCGTAAGGTATAAATTCGGATTACTTATAGAGGACAAGAAATAAAACGTCGACTTTATTTAGGAATTATTTAATTTGAATATATATAACGCACCAACTTCCAAAGTAAAATTTCTCCATGTTTAAATTTAGCAACCGCCGATTACCAATTAAACGACGTCGCTTCAACATCTTCCTCTTTCGGTCTACCCCAATTCTCATGTTTTTCCGTTATATATCGCGGATTAGGGTTTCAAATTCCTCTTCCTCTCCTTCCAAGCAAAGCTCCAAGTCAAAAAGGCTTCAAGCAACAATCTTTGTAACAAGAAACAATTAGGCCATATATGGACAGCAGCATCTCCTATCTCTCCGTCTGCAGAGGATGCAGCCCTAAAAGCTTCATTGTCCACTTCCTCTCCGCGGCCTCCATCGTCATTTCGGTCACCTTCTTCCTTTCCAGCGAGTCCTCTCATGGCCTCCGCTCCAACCTCTCATCGCGCAGCCCTCGAGTCTGGCCCGTGAGTGCCTTTTCCAACCGTTTCATGTCTCCTCTCGCGCGCTAAAAAAAGCAACTTTTTAATAACTTTCTTATTCGGTGCCACCATATGTTTGTTGTAATTCCCAAATGTGCTAACAGAAGCTGGAGGTGAACTGGCGGAGCGCGCTAGCCACAATCATCGGTTTCCTCGGCTCGGCCTTCGGTACGGTCGGTGGTGTAGGCGGAGGCGGCATCTTTGTTCCAATGCTTAATCTCATCGTCGGCTTCGACACCAAATCCGCCGCAGCTCTCTCGAAATGTGCGCCGCATCGTTCCTCTCTCTCGTGTAAAAGATATCACATTTCTTAATTATATGCTATCCATTTTGTTTAGGTATGATCATGGGCGCATCGGCTTCTTCTGTTTGGTATAATCTACGGGTTTCACACCCATCGAAGGAGGTGCCCATCATAGACTATGACCTTGCCCTGCTCTTCCAGCCTATGCTGATGCTGGGAATCACCATTGGCGTCGCTCTTAGCGTTGTCTTTCCTTATTGGCTCATCAGCGTTCTCATCATCATTCTCTTTTTGGGTTTGTATTTTATAGCATACATGCGTGCTGTTCTCTGCAGCCAATTCAAAAGCTTACATTTTTTTTTTAACTTTATTTTTACCATAATGGGTAATGGGTGTGTGCTATTTTGGATTCAGGCACTTCATCAAGGTCTTTCTTCAAAGGAATCCAGATGTGGAAAGAGGAAACTATCATTAAGGTTCCTTTTTATCAAAACAACAAAATTAAACAATTATTTTTAAAACTTTAAATTATGGAAAACAGTTCAAATTGTCTTGATCTTGTTCCAGATGGAAACGGAGAAGAAAGAGATGGAGGCGAAAGCTAGATCTGAACGGAGTGATGGTGTTCATAGCACTCTTTTCACTTTAACCGCTTAATCAATTTGTTTCCCTTTCATTTCGTTAACATGAGTTCTATTTTTTTCCTGCACAGTTATAGTAGATTCTCTATACGAGCCTCTGCTTCCCCCGGCGCAGGAAAAGTCCGGAATAGTGAGTTCTAAGATAAAAAAAAAAAAACATTTTTCTTCTTTATTTCCATTTTTTCATCAAATTGATCTCTATAAAGTAGTCGTTCTCTGTTTTTTAAAATAGGATATTTTACTTCTAAACCTACGTTGGAAACGCATACTGGCCCTGATGCTCGTTTGGTTCTCCTTCCTCCTCCTCCAGATTCTCAAGGTAATAGTCTCTCTCTCTCTGTCTCACATCTCAATCTGTCTTCTGCTATAAAACATGACTTTTATTTTGCAGAATGGCACAGAGGTCTGCAGCACCTTCTATTGGCTCTTCAACATCCTCCAGGTTGTGGATCCCATTTCACTTTCGTCTTCATATCTGAATTAAAAATGGTTGCTTTATGGGAAATAACTCAATATAAAAAGGTAAACAGTTTCCTGTTGCGTTGAGCGTGTACGCGTGGGAGGCTACTCGGCTGTGGCGAGAGAGCAGGTCAAGGCGTCAGCGTGGAGTCTGGGAGTGCGTATGCGAGGCGTCAATCGAGTGGAGCGCGCTTCAACTCTTGTTATGCGCTCTCTGTGGTCTCCTTGGCGGTACCGTCGGCGGCCTTCTGGGTTCCGGCGGAGGCTTCATCCTTGGACCTTTATTACTCGAGATTGGCGTAATACCCCAGGTGAGCTGTCCTTTTTCTCCAGCTCCATTTACGTCTGTCTTTTTGTCTTTTTTTCTGTTTGGTTTGAATCTATGGGCCCATCTTTTAAAAACTATTCAATGAGGATTTTATAACTGTGCTGCCATCTTTCCAAATATTTGATAAGGATCACAGGATTTAGGGATTACATGGACCAATGATTTCTAATTTCAACTCTTTTTTTTCTAGTTTATGTCAATGTATTTTAATACAACAAATATATCAAAAATAGCATTCATATATTTTTTATGTATATTAGATGTCGCTCAAAATAATCATCTTGATATTTGAAGAAATCTCATCAACGTCTTTTAATATAGATGACATTTATAAATTTTATATATATAGTATTTGACCAATATCATTAATATCTAAAAAAGCCTATTGTTCATGCTCAACTAGATTATTAGCTTGAATTCAAATTTTTTAATAAGACCATTTATTTAATTATTTAAATACAAATATGATTTAGTTTGATTGTGGTCCACTCTATTGTAGCTTGATAATATTTATATACGTGTGAGTTTATGTATTATTGTATGAATTTATATTTGTATATCTGCATAAATATATAGATTGTGAACATGCATGTTCCTATATTTATAGATAAATACATAAATGTGTGGTACATTTATATTCCCTAATTTATACAAGACTTTCAAAAAAGTTTTATGTTCACAATAATTTATGTTTAGCTTTAATAGGTAAATGAGCTAGATACAAATAAAAATATTATTTTATTTTCTTAGCAAGCCAACCTCAATACTTGTTAGACTAGATGAAGTTTGGCTCATTTGTATCCCAATTTTGGGATCTCTCCCTTACCATTTGTACCCCAATTTTTATGATCTCTCCCTTATCAAGCTCACCATTGTCAACATCTTCTCTCATGCATCAAATCTTACGATAGAGTGGATTTGACGGCATGGTAGAATGTTTTTAAAATTTATTTTGAGATGCCAATGGAAAAGTTGAGACTAAACTTTGCACATACACATAGGAGCCTTGCATGTGGATGCTAAGGGAAATTCCTGTCATGCTTTAAAATGAGCAGCTAGTTAACTTGCCTGTAAATGTGTCTTGGGATACGAAAATTAGGAAAGGATCACCGGTGTATATTATCAATGAAGTGAGTATTCATTGTCCATTTTATCATTGTCGATCACTATGAAGTTCTTGTTGAGTGGAATCAAGTGATAAATAAACACTGTGTGTGTTATGTAGTCACTATTAATAGAACTTTTAACATAGTCATAGGCCTCAAGTTCATCAACCCGTAGGTGTTGTCACCTCTTGAAATGTTGTACTAACATAAGTTATTCTAGTTAATTAGATTTTGAGATATTGATAAATTTTTTATATTTTTAATAGATATGAATATTTGTACATAATTTGTGTTGGATATGCCAATAGTAAAAGGTTAGGTAATTATTATTTATTTAATAATAAGGGAGATGAAATAATGAAGAGCAAATAAGCAAATGCCTTCTTCTTATTCTCTGTCCTATCTCTTTAAGGAAGAAATCATTAGAGAACATGAACTCAAGAATCAATTATTGCCCAAAGTCCTCACAACTATTTGCTGGTTGCTGTATGCTTACAGTCTCCGGCGGCTTTTAAAAAATCACTTCAAGAATCTAGCATATGGATCTAAACGTTAGGCCAAGGTTTGGCTAGCTGTTTTTTGTCACAGTGGCTTGTCTAATGATTGCTTTAATGACGTAATGAATGCCACTTGTCTTTAAAGTATGCATATGTGGTGTTGAATATTTCGAGGCACCTAAAAGATAGTACAATTTGGAAGGTTGTTTAGTGGACTGTGCTTAGCTTCATGTGGGTACCCGGTGATGTCACTTTTTTAGTGTCTTTAAGTGCATATTGCCATGTGATTTATGTGAACGGTGTTTCTATTTGCAAAATAAATTAACATGAAATTATAGCTTAGTGATTTGCTTATCTTCTAAGAATTAATTATTAGTGTTGAGTGTAGGCTTTGAAATTAAGCATCTAGCTCGCAAGAAAAATGAGCTGTGTTTTCTTCGAAGACAAATTAAAATTTCTCGAGAAAATTTTTGGAAGCTACGTTGAAGATATATTCCAGAAAATTTTGTCAAATTTTATGAGAAATCAAGTAATATTGATTTTGATTATAAGAGTCAGTATTTCTCATCGAAATATATTTCTATGAAGAATTGCTTTTTGTATATATCCCTCAATGGAAATCTAAATTAAGTAGAGCTTCCTTTGTACGTGTTCAATAAAGAGGGAAAGAGTAATCAGGATGGTTAACATTTCAAGGTAATTTGAAGCTATAAAATTATGTTAAAATGAGAAAAAAAAATTGTCATAATATACCCAGGAGTTAATGTAAATAAATATGTAGGGTTTCGTAATGCCTTCAAATTATTAGGAGAGGAGCTGAATTATTATAGGGATGTGTATTTTCATAAATTTGACATTGAATGGGTTTACATTCCACAATAATTAGAAGGAGAGGTCCGAATAAGATTTGTAGTACATGAGAGGTGGAGGCCTTGATGATCGACAAGGAGCTTATGCTCCATGATGTCCAATGTGAGTTGCCTAAGGAGAGACTTACAACACCACTTAAGGTGAACAAAGCACTCATATTCCTAATGCACTGATAGGGATGTACATGTAATATTGCTCTTCCACCCATCAATAAAATACATAGTATACGACTTAAGACCTTAAATACCAATAATTAGGATACCTGATGACTACACTTACATCATCTAATGAGAATATCAATAGATGATGAATTAGGTATAAAGTTATAAAATTATATGCATGTTGTTCGAATCTCACACATGCAGGGTCATTTTCACGCTTAACTAGAAAATATTATTTTGTTATAATATATACATATAAGGCAAATGAACTAATCATATTAACATTTAATTCCTACTACGAATGAGTAGCCAAAATTGACTGTTGAAGGATAATTTTAGGCCATGATAAATTGACTATGTACAAAGAACATAAATATTAGACTATTTTCATTAATGTTTATAGAATTAGGAAATGAATATTTATAAAAACACCTTTTAGGAGTTTATTTGGTACTTTCTAATTATTCACGCTACTACTGGAGAATGAAATACAATTTATAATTAAAATATTTCTTTTTTTCATTTTCTACCAATGAATATATAGACTATTAGAGAAATTTAAAATGTAATGCAATCATACGACTAAGAATTTCATGCAAGGAAAAGTTGTCACGTTTTTAGTGTTTGTAAAAATTTAATAAGTTTTATTGGGTTTTTAAAATTTGGTGAATAAGTATGGTAGCCTTATAATAATTTTAAACAAAAGACCAAAATAATTTTCCATGCCCGAATAACACTTTAATAGTGGGAAAAATATTTGATGCATTTTTGTAATTTTAATATTTAAAATAAAATTTAAAATCCATTAATATGCATGAAAAAATCAAGAAAAATATCAAAATATCAAAATAATTTCCATGAGTTAATAGTGCTTCTCTGAATGTACATGTAAATGTCTTCAGTATTTTTGATAAAAGTGCATAAAATGCTATAAATGCATAGGATATTGTGTTAGGAATTAGGATTATATAATTAGTTAAGTAATTTTATAATTTAGTTAAGTAAAATAATCAATCTTACAAATTATAATGCCATTATTGAATTACAAAAATAATATTTTATTAATATAGAGGTGGGATTTAATTTTTTGGAATTAATAAAATTATTTTAAAATCTTCTAATAAACAAACAAATTATATATCATGAAATAAAAAAGCTAAAAAACATTTTAACAAATATTTAAAATTCATTGCATAATTAGTTAAAATGTTAAACAAGTGACCTAATCGAGGCCATGGAGTAAAAGAACAAAGAGATCACATGATGTGGCTTCTTGTAGATTATTCATTTGTGTAGCACTATGGTCAAATTGTAGTGGTTGATTCTACTTGATAGCGTCGAACGTCCTTGAGAGAACCTAGGATTAGGGTTTGAGAGTTTCACGAAGCTCTCTATAGGATTTTGGGCTACAACAAAGGAAAAGAGAGCTAAGTTAAGGGTGCACTAGTCTTTTACACTAGATGCTTGCTTTGTCAAAGTAGACGATTGTTTGATGGTTAGAGATCAAATGGTTCTTGCATTCCTAGAGTTTGCTGGGGTTTAATAGTTGCAGCTTTTCACATTGCTATTTTGGAAGTTTTTATGTATTTTAGGTATACAAGGATTGACATGCCCCTTTATAGATAGTTTAGATGCAATTTAATAGGCTTGAGAGAGGATTAGTACAAGGGAATAATCACCTATATGCAGGGGAATGCATTTGATCAATGTTCTCGGTTTAGCTTATGATTTAACTAAACCAATTAGTTAGGAGAGTTGAATGGTTTACAGAATTTGGGGGAAGTTGGTCTAACTTAGGTAGATAGGGTTTAGGAGGTTTGGCTCAAGTTGATCTCCTTTTCTTTATTTTTCTTAAATTAAGTTCAAAGTTACCTAGGGTAGGCCAAGAATCAGCTAAGGTTAGGTTGACTTTGGTTGAATACAATGTTAAGTTTAGATTATTTTGCTATATTTGACTCATTTGGGCTATTTAATCCCAACCATAGCTTAAGTTAATTAGGATCTAATTCAACGGGCTAACTAGGTCTCTATGAGGAAACCTTAACTAGGTTGGGTATGTGTTAGAATCTTGTTCTAACATAGGTTATCTCAAGCTTAAGTTTTCATCTAATATGGTTAATCATGTTAATCTTGTAAACCTAGTTTAACGTTTAGGTTTAGGAGGTTAATTTTAGCTCTACCTTAGCTACTAGTGATATTTAGGAGTTCATGGAATACCCTTGTACTAGGTAAACTCATGGAATCGAGTTAGGCCATTTGGTCTAGTAAGGTAAGCTTAATAGAGTGGCTCATGAGTTAGGTCAAGGTTTCACCAAGGCTCATTAGGAGTGGCCCAAGTATTTACCTGTTAAGATGAATCACCCAAAGGGATATATGGGCAAGCTAGCTAGGACTCTAATAGGGCTAGACTACGCCATGATAGGTAGGTAGATCATGCCAAAGTAGGTTAGGATTTACGCTTAGCCCAACTTAGGTTTAGGTAGGGTGTACTTGATAGTCTAAGCCTTTAGCAAGGTGAAGAGCGTGTGAGAGTAGTAGTGTCTAGATTGCTAGAGATCTTAGTGCGCTATGTAAACAAAAAGCCTTGGCATCGAGTGAGAGTAATAAAAATAAGTTGAATCAAGCAAAACTTTCCCTAAAACTGTGGCACCTTAAAGAAAACATAGGAAAATTCTCATCACTTGCATGTGAATTTTCCATATTATCTATAGCTTCTTATTTATTTTAACTTAAGAAGTTAATCTTTTGCTTCATTTAAATTTTAATGCAGGTTGCCAGCGCTACAGCTACATTTGTTATGCTGTTCTCATCATCACTATCAGTTGTGGAGTTCTATTTTCTCAAAAGATTTCCTATGCCTTATGGTAATAGACCAAATTAAACCAATTCTTATTTACGAAAGATATCATCACTGGTTAACATAAAAGAACTTGCAGTTATTCTTAAATATGTGCTTTTCGTGTTTCAGCCGTTTACCTGATAGCTGTATCCGTAATGGCTGGATTCTGGGGTCAGTTCTTCGTAAGGAAGCTAGTGAAGGTTCTGAAGAGAGCTTCCATCATCGTCTTCATCCTCTCTGCAGTCATCTTCGCAAGTGCACTAACTATGGGTAATATTATATATCTTTTCATCAAAACAATCTCATTACAGCCCAACGGAAGCAAATTTATTTTTGTTCTTACAATCAATATAATGACAGTATATTACTGGTGTGATTTATCATATTGGCGCAGGTGTGGTGGGTGCTGAGAAAAGTATCTTCATGATCAAGCATCATGAGTACATGGGCTTTCTTAGACTTTGCCAGAGCTGATCGATCAATAGAAGGAAATTATCTTCTAGTATTGGGAAGGAGTGTGGGGTCAATACCTTATTGACCGAAATCACTCGAAAAATAAGTGCTGATGCATCTTAGGCTTTTTGCAAATTAGCATTTGAACTTATCAATTGTTGCCTTTTAAATAATCCATTATGTTTTTGTGTCCAATGTTTATTTGGACAGTCATGGTAAATGTATCCTATGATATCTTTATGAATTATTTACGTGGATTTATTATGTCAGGAAACATCTTTTTTAATTTTATTTAGTATGAGAGTTTTATTTTTTATTTTTTTATAAATATATTATGTGTATAATGTTATAACATTTTTATAATACTTTTCAAATTACAATCATAATAAAATTTTTGATGCTTTTTTAAAAAAATTTGTACTAAAAAATTATTTTTCACAACTTAAAAAATTTACTTTCTCTATAGAAACTTTATAAAATAATAAAAAAGTTAATATGAGATATTTTATTTTATAATTTCTGAGTTGGAATTTTATATCGGCCACTAAAGAAAAGCCAAGGAAACATGACAATGTTGATGTTCTGAATGAAAGCATAAACTTAGCAAAGCTTTTGGGTTTTGTTAGGAAAAGGAAGTAATTGTGATTGTTCTATTATAGTTGGGGGTGCGCCACTCTAATGGCGGCTTTTAACGATGTGGTTGGCTTTCATTTGGTTGGAATGTGGTGTTGGGCTTTGCAGTTGTATCGTTCTTTGTGGGCAATGATGTGGCTGCTTTTTGCTCACCACTTAGACAATTGTGACTTGTTGGAAATCATTAGTGGCGCTTTGGTTTGTCTTTCTTCTTTTTGGATTGTTCATTGTTTTCTCTTCTGGATGGTTCGAGAGTAGCTTCTGGGTGGTGACATGGAGCTTTTGGCAATTATTAAGCCTAGCTGGCTTCTTTGTCTTGTCATTGCTTGCTTTCTCTTCTTTTCTAACTTTGAATGTGTAATCCTACTTTGCTCTTGTTTTGCTTTGTTGTATCATTCTTTATTTGATGAAATAAAATCTCTATATTATTAAAAAAAAATTGTTAATTTAAAACCCTTTGATGCTATGTATTGACAGCTTGAGATTAGGAGTGTAAACGAGTCGAGTATTTGCCTTATCAAGCCTGACTCGTTTAATCTTTAATGAGCTCGAGCTCGAATTCGAGCTCGATTAGTGGGCCCGAGATCGACTCGTTTAAAAAATATCAAGCTCGAGCTCGACTTGAAAGCTCGAGCTCGTTTAAAAAGCTCGAACTCAACTATTAACTCTTTTAATTGGCACGAGTCTTTAATTTTAAACGAAAATTCTTTTTTTTTTTTGGAATTTTTTCTTCTAACCCTTAATTAAAATTTGTTTTCAACAATAAAAAAATAACTTAATTCATCATAAAATGTCTAGAACTTTAACTATTAATTTCTTTAAAAAAAATTATAGAAGAATCTATATATTATGAGCAATCATTTTTCTTTAAAAAATTTAATTTAAAAATTTGATCTAAATCAACTTATCAACTGCAATTTTTTATGATTTAAGTATTATAAAACCTTGAATAATATAGAAATAGAGCTTTCAATAATATAAAAATTTGACCAAATTACATTTCATATCATCATTACAAAAACAACAATTGGAATCATACAACTCATTAAGAAGTTTCATAATAGAGCATAAGTAAAAATTGAATAGAAGATAGAACTACATATTCCTTGTCTGTCTGATATTTGGATGTTCCATATTCTTTAAATTCTTTCATCTCTACTACCAAGTACCAACTACCAATTAATATGATAAAAACCTGTAAAATTAAGATAAAAGCAAAATGATAATTATATTAGAAATTGGGTAAAAAGAAAAATATTAAATATTCCACATACAAAATTTATAAGCAATCTTACCGCTCAAACCTAACAAGCAAAATTATCCAGCATATGTTTTGATGGATAGCATCAAAAATGAGCTTCAGATATAATCAGATCTGTAAAATTCAATGCATAAGAGATAAAATTTTGCATCAGAATATAAGAAGAGAAAAAATTATATATAAGATTTATTAAATTAGAATAAGTTATGTGCTTTGATTCATGATACAGTTATTGCATCAAATCAACAAATGACAGTTTTTCTATTAGTGAACTCTCCCAACGTTTGATTAGTTGTAGATTTGGCCAATGACTGATGACAAACTCTTCCAATGTTTGAGAATTTTTGCCAAATCATACTACCACATATAAACGATCTCATACAACCCAATAATGCACAGCAATGACAGCACTTTGATAGCACCAATTCTCACCAGAGAATTCTGTTTCAACCACTACAAACACCAAACCTTCCAATCCACCTTTCTAAGATTATACTGTTTGCAGATTAGCAACTGCTTCCATATGTATAGGAGGTCATATAATTTTCAAGCACCAACTTTGCAGGTTAGCAACAGCTTCCATATGTATAGGAGGTCATATAATTTTCAAGCATCAACTATGTACATAAAACTCAATTAAATGAAAGTATGGAACACAAAGTTGGATATATTTATGACCTTAGATTTTCTCATGTAATTGGTAGGACAATCTCCACCTCTTCATCTTCTTCTTCCTCCTACAATAGCAAAGATAATTGAAATTTCATATATAAGTCGTTTAGGATACCAAACAAATGTGTTCTCATTAATTAGAATGTAATGTGCTATCATCTCCCTGACTTTTTGATGATCATATTTAAATGTTGTCAACAATCCATCATCTTGACTGCTCTGAGAGAATGAGTTTTCTATATCTGAAGGTTGGAAATGTAAGATTTTTTTCTTTTTAATGGCACGAATCCTAGCATCACATCGGTCCAAATGTCTTTTAAATTGTGTAGTTACATCAGTAACTCCAATAAGTAATTGTTTCTTACAATGCACACATTCTCCTTTTTTTTGCCTAGTAGGAAGAATAACTTCTTTGAACACATCCCAAACTTTAGATCTTTTTTTTTTTCTTTTATTTCTTCCTATAACATCATCAACTTCTTCAATATATATCATCCACTTGATTTTCATTAGTCCACTTTTCAACCTCTTCGTCAATCTCATTGTCATCATTATGTGTATTATTCTCATTCATAGGTTGACTACCATCATAAGAGTGCAGGTGGTCATCATGTCTTCCAATCTCAATATTTGCAGGCTCAATATTATACCCTTCCATACTAACTGGTGTTGACATTCTAAAAAAATGATAATAACATGAGAAATGAAAATATATTTAACATCTAAAAACTAATTCTAATTTTTTTAACTGCAAGTAAGAGAATCAAAGAAGTAATATACACCCACATGTACATCCAAAACGAACAAATCAAATAACCAATATAATCAAATAATTAATATGCATCCAATTAGCTTTTTAGCTAGAATTCTATCATAGAGCCGTTTACATCTCTAATCAAAATACAACCTATAATATGCATGATTTAAGCTTTCATTGAAACTCCTGTTGCTTGCAAAACAAACCTAATAGTGCAATAGTTAAGCAAAAAAAAAAAAAAAAAAAAAAAAAAAAAAAAAAAAAAAAAAATGAAGAAAAACTGAAAAAGAATAAGAAATCCCCAAATTCTTGACTAGTTTTGGGCAGTGTGATTAAGAAATGAACTAGTACAATTTAATTATCATAATATTACAATTTATTTATACCAAAAACTTGCACGCCAGCTATTTTCAATATCAATTACGTGTCCTATCATACAAATTAGCTTCAGACTTCCATATGCCAAGTTGCTAACATCCAAATCAAGTTTGAGAAGAAAATTAGATGTAGAAAGAGACTTACAGAAAGAAGATGAGCGAGTAAACTAAGTGGGAAAATATAAAATACACCTTTCTTATTGATTTTTTACATCAGTTTTCTAACACAAAACTTAAATCTCACAATTTGGGATAATTTTAGGTAACTCCTGTTTAGGTGATATGAGACTTGTTGCCTCAAAAGTTATTCATTAATATGATTTTCACCATTCAATGTTATCAAATTCTTGGAAGGAAAGTCAAAGAAAACAAGAAAAATAAGAAGGAAACCCTAATCTCATGATTCTCATCTCATTTTATTTTGTGCAAAATATGAAAGTATATATACCTTCTCAAAAAGACTTACAATGAAAGTAATCAAAACAATTTACAAAAGAAAGAACAAAAAAAATCCCAAGAGAGGTCGATGGCCACAAGAAAAAGTAAAGATCCATACATTACGAAGACGAGTTGACGACGAGGAACACTTATGCAGACGAGATGTCGAATGTCCGAGTCCGACGACGTCGCAGCGAGCCAGTGAACGACGACGCAAGATCCCTAAGCCGAGATGCCGAATGTTCGTGGAAGAAGAAGGCTCGAACTCCCGAAGTTGCTCTGGATTTTGGAGGCGAAGTAGGGCGAGGCGGCGAGCCGAGAAATGAAAAATGAATGCGAAATTGCGAAAAGATTTAGGGTTTAGGGTAATATGCGGGTTCGGGATTCGGGAACCGGCATGCAGCGGGTGAGCGGGTCATCAAACCAAACTTTCTAATACTTAAATAATATATATAAATTAATCGAGTAGCTTATCAAGCTTTCGAGTCGAGTCGGATTGAGCTCGAACTTGAGCTCGATAATTATACGAGCTCGATTGTAAGCTCGAGCTCGAGCTCGAAGCTCGATAAGCTCGGCTCGCGAGCTCGTTAACGAGTCGAGTTCAAGCCGGCTCACGAGTCGGCTCGGCTAACTTACACCCAAATGGTTGTAGTGTTATGTTCTTAATAAGATTGTAAGTGGACGATTGCATATGATAAAATTCTCGATATTTGTACATATGAGAGTATTAATATTTGCTTTGTTAATAATTGAGTAAAATTAAACCAATTTTTTTAATTCATATGAAATATAAATTTATAAGTAAGAATATTTCTAACTTGTTAATTAATATTTGTAAATATTCTTTAATTTAAAAATTAACTTGTCGAAGCTCACTAAAACATTTTATTTATTTATTTGGTGATTGATATTATTATTTTAAGAGTTTATAAAAAATTATATATATATTTTAATAATGTAAGTTGATAAAAATATTCAATAAATAGTTAGATTGGTAGATTCAGATTTATATTTTTTATTTACATTTAAACTTCATGCATTATTAGGAATCATATATATATAGTGCGTAGATTCTGTACAACCTTGCTTGTGGTTTAATCTTTGAACTAATTTTCACCTTTTTGCACCATTTTCAATTTTTTTTTTATAAATGTTTTGAACCTAAATCAAGGTCGTTAAAATCGGACCGGACAACGAACTGGAAGAGGGAGAGGTTCACGGTTCGACCGGTCGAACCGGATGACGTAATAAATAACTTAATATATGACTGTATATATATATGTCAGGTGACTTTGGAGTGCGTTGGAGGTTTGTTATATGTCAGCATTTGGCAGTTAAGTGACCAACCTCATCATAGATTTAATATTTAATGGGATATGCACTCATGCACAGCAATTCGTCCCCATCCTTTGTTGGAGCAGCGTTCATGGCTGGTGTTTCTATTAGTAGATAAATATAATGTAATAGACATAAATAAATAATGAGGTGGCTCACACACATTGGCTAGCTACTTATTCATTATTGTATATCTATACATACGGGCATAGGATTGTAACAGAGCAAGCAATACAATATTATTTTCCATTATGACTCATTTACTTTCTCTGTCTTTCTCCCTGTCATCTCACGGAGTTCTTGTTGAACAAGAACTCTTCTCTTCCACATGGTATTAGAGCGGGCGATCAAGAGTGACGAAGATGGCCGGCGAACTCGACTTCCTCCCAAACTGAAGAACATGAAGAATCAAGCCTCGAGATGCACCGGTTCTTTCTTCTACCTTGAAGTTCGTTGTTTCAAATCTTAAATCCATCGTGCAAATCCAACTCACATCCAAAAACTATCACATATGGAGATCGCAAATCACTAAGGTTCTCCGCGTTAATGGCTTTGACTATTTGCTTGATCCAAATGCCTCTACACTTGCTTGCTTTCTTGATCAAACCGACGGATCATACACGCCCAATCCCGATTTTTCGCAATGGCCATCTACTTTGTCCGCGGCCATCTATTCTACGATTTCATCTCCTGTTCTTCCTTACATCATACATCTTGAATCGACTTCCGAAATTTGGATTACTCTTGAAACTCGTTTTCAATCTACAAATTGTTCTAAAGTTATTCAACTAAATAACAAATTACACCATATCTCTCTAAAGAACTCCACCATTACTCAATATATATCTGACATCAAATCTTTGGTTGATCAAATTGCTTCGGCGGGTTGCAAGGTGGACACCGAAGACGTTATCTTGTATATCCTCAACGGTCTTCCTCCACCTTACCAATCCTTTAAAACTGTTATTCGAATTATGTTAACCCCTATTAGCCTCGACAATCTTTATGCTCTTCTCCTTAGCGAAGAAGTTAATCTAGCTTCTGACGTGGCAGTATGCAACATTGCTTCTTGAGCTAGCTCAACTCACTCAATGCAATTCCCTTGCCAATCCTACATGTACAAAACTTCTAAAGGTTCTTTAATAAGAAAATCTCCTATCTGATCCTAAGCTTTATAGAAGACTCACAGGTTCTCTTCAATAATTGACGCTTACTCATCCGGACATTGTGTATAGTGTCAATCTTTTGTCTCAACACATGCACAATCTGCTACCTCAGCACATCTTTCTGCTAAAATGATTTCTTCGATATATCAAAGGTACGTTGGACTTCGATATACCCATTACAAAATCTAATCTTCAACTTACATCTTTTTCAGATGCGAACTGGGTTGGAGATCTCACTTCTTGAAAGTCTACCTCTGGATATTATTCTTTTCTAGGGGACACACTCATATCCTGGATGGTCAAAAAGCAGCACACCGTAGCTCGTTCATCCACTGAATCGGAATATCGTGCATTAGCTGCTTTAACAGTCGATGTTATCTGGCTTCGTAAACTACTTGCTGAATTTGGAGTTCATCAAACACAACCCACAGATCTCTACTGCGACAATACTTCTGCCATTGCCTTGGCTAACCACTCGGTATTTCACGCTCGTACAAAACACATCGAAATCGATCAAAGATTTATTTGTGATCACATACAACATAAGAACATTCATATTCTTCCAATCAACACTATGGACCAAGTAGGTGACATTTTTACAAAATCTTTATCTACTCCAAGATTTCAAACATTAAGACTCAAACTGAATGTTCTCCAGAACCCATTAGTTTACAGGGGCCTATTAGTAGATAACATAATGTAATAAAGATAAAGAAATAACGAGGTGGCTTTCGCGCATTGGCTAGCTACTTATTCATTATCTTGTATATCTATATATATATATATGTGTATATGATTGTAATAGAGGAAGCAATACAATATTATTTTCCATTTTGTCTCATTTACTTTCTCTGTTTTTCTCCCTGTCATCTCACAGAGTTCTTGCCGAACAAGAACTCTTCTCTTCCACAGTTTCAACCTCTACCATTGCTCTAAATAGCAAGAAGAACCAATTGTATTGATGATAGAGTCAAACTACAAATGTTTAATGGCTTCATTTGTTGATTTGTTTTTTCACCGCACAATAAGGAGTACAAATTGTTGACGCTAATAGGGTTTAGATGGGTCTTTATTGCCATTTTAAAAGCCAGCTTGATGGGAGGTTGTTCTATGTATACAACAATGTCTTGTCAGTGTCCAACCGTAAAGTAGCTATGAGATCTACTTTGGGTTTAATGGTAGACAATCATTGTGTCATTGTTTGGGTTCTGTTGATATTATATATAGAGCTTATTCTAGAGTTGAATACTAAGTACATGATTGATATATTGAAGACTACTCAAGAATGATCTTAATATCCGCACATGACTCAAGATTCAGCACATATAGTATAATGGCATGAGATATAGAGGAATAGAGGTTGAAGCCTAGTTTACACCTATTAGGAGCCATATTTATACATTTGATTAGAAATGATGATACCTTCTACTTTGAGTGTTGTTGCATTTGGATGCATGGCAGATCCATCGTTAACCTTCAAAATTGGCCATTTGCACGAAATATTTTGAGTAGTAGAGACTTTCACATTTGATGGATTTTCAATACAGTGTGAGCTGGGCTTGGATAACATTTTCAATGTTAGCCATTACAAATTTCAATTGAGGAGAAACAAGCGTATCCATGAGTTTGATAGGATGATCATTGGCTTAAGTCGGGATAGTTGTATCTAAATCAGAGGGTAACTTCTATTGAATTAATAGTTTGCATGTTAGGGAGTACTAGTACCAGATCACTACACGAAAGAAGCTAAAAAACTGCAAAAATAAATATTCAACAAACTGAAGGAATGTAGAGCTAGTCGAAGATAAAGGAAAAAAATAACATCACAGCCATAAAAAACATATAACCACTATAATTTACTCGGCGAAGATAACATCAAAATATTAAAAGAATAGTGAAAGAAGAAAATGACATATAATGCACCTAAAGACATATTATTCCAAGCATCGTACATAAACAATATTAATGGAAGAACATGCAAATAACCAGCAAGTCAAACTCAAAAGGACCCACCGATGCTCGTAAATGGATGAGAAACCATCATTCCCTCCTCCAACTGCTTCACCTCATCCACTCCTACAGTGCTCAGTGCCGTACTAATAGGCCTAGCCGCCACCGCCGCAGCAAAAAGTAGCTCGTGCTGCCTGACCTCCACTCTCATCCTAACATCATCCATCACTATTCTTGCCGCCTCCAACTCCTCCAGACTCATCCCCTCCATTTCTTCCATCTTCAACGCTCTCCTCATTAATTCTCCCACACCCACTGTCGCCGCCCTCAGCCTATCCTCTGCCACTGCCCTCCTCTCTCTCGCTTCTTCCACCCGTTGCTCCATCTCACTGCAATATATAGTTTAAAGCTCTAGTCATAGTTATGTAAACAACACATTGAATAAATTTGAGAAATATTTAACTCACTCAAAATTCCAAAGTAAAAGTAACATAATATAACAAATATGGTAACACATTTATATTAGTTACATATTAATTTTCTTAAGGAATGCTGAGCGCATAAAGTGTGGACCAATTTTGAAGATAAAATCATCTCATTTAGTCAACCTTTCAATTAAGGTATAAATAAGCTGATAGTTTTTTAATAAAAAAAAATGTATAAGAATATCCTCATAAAATTTTGATCATGATAAAGCTCACGATCCTTTGATTTATTTTGATATAGATTAAAATTAATTGTATTTAACAAGTGCACTTATCTAAAATTAAATCCAAATGACTTTTATTGCAATAGCAAGTGATAAAGTATTTAACTTGACTTCTTGATCTTAAATAATATACAACAAAATCTATGTCTAAATATTTTAACCCCTTTTTTTTTCCTTTTTAATATTAGTAAAAAAATGATTATTATTACCGTTGAAAAATACTTTTAACTGAATAATTCTATTTAGTCATATATTTATAAATAAAATAGGATTATATCATTAAAAATGTTAGGCCCAATCTGCCTCTTTTAATCATATTATTTAAAAATTATAATTAAAAATAATATTTAATATGAATTTTTTAATGAACAAAAATTATATTAGGCGATTACGATCAAATTTTAGATTAAGTTTCAAAATTATTAAATTTATTTTAAGATTGAATGTAATATACAAAAGGTATAAAATTGAATTATATTAATTTAAAAAAATTAACGCCTTAAAATTTTATCCTGATTAAAAATAAATCCTAATAGTCCGAGTCAAAAAATTTTCCCTATTTAATATAATAAGTTATTCATTATAGCTGAAAATTGGGCGTGGTGCGTGGTGCATACGCGCACTGTAGGTTGAGCTGCCACTCCGCCGGCTGTTGAGCTTGGCCGGCGGCGACATTCCCATGATCGAGAAAGCGTGCGACGATAGATTCAACGGACGGATGACCTAAGCTAAAGGGCTTTCCGGCCGGCGAGAAAGCGACGATGGCGAACTCAACGCCGCATAGAATGGAAAGTTCGCTGGCTTTCTTCATAACTCCTTGCCGGCGTTTAGTGAACGCCACCTGTCGCGCCGCCTCGTTCGCAATCTTCTTTATATCGATCTTTTGGCGCCCGCGACTGCTTCTCTTCTTCTTGTTCAAGGTTTCCATGGCTATGCTTATTGCGATTTTGGCAGGAGGAGATGGTCAAAACCCACGTACTTATTGGCCTTTTCAGAGACATAATAGGAATAATATATGAGATGGATATATTGCATTATATTTTGACATTCATTCTTTATGACAATTTAATTTCACGATGTTTTTTTTTGGTCTGTTTTTTTTTTTAAGTAATTAAATTTAAATTATATATATAATTTAAGAAACTTTGCTTCTCGATCAACAAATTCATGAACTTAAGAACGAGGTTATTTAATTATATGCAGGAATAATGAATTTAATTAATGTTGCATAATTAAAGTACAATGGCAATGTAGCACACTGTTCCGATTAAATGAAGATTAATGCCGTGTATTTTGATAGCCAAATTGAGTTATATATATATACAATGTTTTAAAAACCGGACCGGACCGGCCGTACAATGCCCCGGTGTTGCCTATCCGACCGCCCCGGCGTTGTGTTACCAAGCATAGAATGACAAGAAGTGGAGTGTCAAAGCGGTCTAGATAGAGCGCCGCAGCGAACACTATAGGAAAACCAAATATTTGTGGCGGGCTTTGCGACGAAAAAAAATTTTCGACAAAATTGCGGCGGATTTGTGGCAGAAATTTTTTTAACAAAATTTGTGGCGCAATTGCGGTGGATGCGGCGGAAAATTCATCACAAATAAGTTTATTTAAACTGATATCCAGGTCATTTCTTTCATTCTCTCTCGGCCTTGTTTATTCCTCCACGCTCGCAGTGACTAGCCCTCCCTCGTTGACGTTCCTTGCTCGTGAATCCTCACCGACTTTTATCATTCTTCGTCTCCTTTGTTGTTCGACTTTGCTCCTTCGATGATGTCCTTCCTGTTGGATCGGGATCGGAACCAATAACTCGATCGTTGTGAAGGTAACTTTCTTCTTTTCGCACGCTTCTTCCGCAAAATCCCTTAAATCCATTGAACTAAAGGGTTTACTAAAACTAGATTTAGGGAAAACATAAGGAAATGAAGGTTCGCCAGTGGATCAGAAGCAAAAACATTAGCTCGCTCACTGTGAAGGTAACTTGACCTAAGTATTTTCCAATTTCTATTGGATTACATCAAGCATTAGCCTTAAGCCCATATCTTTTTGCATTAGTCATGGATGTTCTTACTAGAGATTTGCAAGAGGAAGTTCCATGGTGTATACTTTTTTGCTGACGATATTCTTCTTGTTGATGAGACTAAAGAGGAAGTTGAAGATAAACTTGAATTATTGAGGTCAACCTTATAGTCTAAATGTTTTCATATGAGTAGATCTAAAACTGGATACATGGACTGTAATTTTAGTAGTAATATATATAGTTTAGGGTTTGTGACTTTGAGCGATTAAGTCATTAATAAGAGTATACATTTTAGATGTCTTGGGTGATCTATTGTTTAGAGTGATGGTGAAATAGGTAGGGATAATATTAGTAGAATTCAAGTTGGATGGTTGAAGTGGAGGAATACATCGGGCTTTCTATGTGATAGAAAAGCACCACTCAAACTTAAAGGAAAATTATATAAGATGGTGGTTAGACCTGCAATGCTTTATGGTGCAGAATGTTGGGCATTAAAAGAGAAGCATATATAATATTAAGTTAAGTGTTGCAGAGATGAGGATACTCACGTGGGTGAGTGACTTTACTCTTAGAGACATGATGTGAAATGAGCATATAGGTGAAAAGGTTGGAGTAGCTCCAGTGGCAGATAAGATTAGACAGAGTCGCCTTAGATGGTTTGGTCACATAAAATGTTGGCCTTCCGATGACCCGATTAGGAAAGTAGATGTATTATATTTGACTTATATTAAGATATACCTAAAGGACTTGGTTAGAAAATATTAGAAATGACCTTTCTTTATTAGATCTAAATGAGAATTTAACTCTTAACAAAACATAATGGAGAAAAATAATTAATGTAGCTGACTCCACATAGTGGGATAAAGGCTTGATGTTGTTATTGTTGATTGTTATGGTTTGATTACACATGAATGTAAGGGTTAGAAATATTGATTCATGATATTATTTCAACTTTAAATGACACATAAGCATAACAATTAAGGTATATGTAGAATGTTGGCCATTAAAAGATAAGCATAATAATAAGTTAAGTGTTGAATAGATGAGGATGCTTAGATGGATGAGTGACTTTACTCTTTAAGTTAAGAAAGGTAGAGGTATAAATCTAAAACAATCATAATATTAAGTGAAGTGTTGCAAAGATGAGGATGGGAAAGTAGATGCATGAATGAGCAGCACAACTATTTACAGTATATGGTTATTTGTTTATTAATTTGCGCAATTTGCATAGTTCTCTTTGATTTATTTGCTTTGCATATTTTTTTTTTATAATTGCTTGGATTGTGAATGTTGGAAAGCCCAAATAATTAATAATTGTATGAGAAACTTTTTTTATTATGCTACATTTTTACGGTAAAAAATTCGCCACAAATGTTGATCCAATATTCTACCATCCACGCTTGTGATGGACCTATCCGTCACAAATTGCGTCGGATTATCTGCCGTAATTTGTGATGGAATCTGCGACGGACCAAAAAAAAATGAAGCTGTTGTTTTATCATAACTATATTTGTGACGCTCATTTTAGCATCGAAATCGTATCCGCTGCAAAATAAGATTTGAGACGAAATCGTATCCGTTGAATTTTACTGATCATGCAAACATAAAAAAACTTCTCACACTTCTGAATTATCAGACTCTCTTTTAATGCGCTTAGAGCTACTTGAAATGATAAAATTATATACAAAAAACTAAGAACCTATATTTAAAATTACAAAGCTGATGGATCCAATTGAGTTGGCTGACTTAATAAATAAAAATAATAAGATTAAACATACGCTTTGATAAATAAAAAAAATAGGAGGGGAGATTTTTTTTTTTAGTTAAAACCCATGGAGGGGCCAACACATTAATTTCAAAAAAGGGATTGCAAAGTCCTTACTAGGAACCTCCAGCTTTCTACTGCTCAACAGAGCTACAAAATAAGAAAAAGAAAAACGTAAAAGCCGGTGGTTCCTAATTCTAATAGTTACAAAAAAACCTAGTAACATGTTAGGGCTGAGAGGATTCAGCGCCCAAAAAAGGAATTGATGAATAAAAACAATCAGAACACAATTCCTACAAAACTCAATAGTAAACCTCGGAACTCTTTTAGTCCTCAACGACTCCAACTCCCTATCAGCATCAAAATAACCATTGATATCCATCGGACTGCACACCTGCAAAACAAAGAAACTCCAAACCCACAAAGTTCTGTTAAAATTATCATGCCACTTATAATTAAAGGATAAAGAACACCTAATCAACCAGATGAAATAGACCAAAACCTCATTACTGCACCCAACCATACGACTGAAACAAAGATAATCAAAAAAGGAAATGAACCAGCTGACCCTCGTCCTGCTATCACCAAAAAAATAACAACAGCTCATAATAACCATAGAACACCTGGAGCAGAAAAACCCTATTGCCCAAACAGGAATAAAAAGCTGGACCTCTAAACAATCCTGCATATATAACACCACCACACCAACAATGTCCAAAACTACATAACAAGAAAAACAGACTCCCATTCCACATGAAATCCGAGACAACAATCCAACACCAAATACCCAAGAGCAGCATAAAATAGAACACACCAGCAAAACACCACCTAATGATGTCTAATGTAAGGTAACCCAGCACGGTCCAATCTAGCCAAACCTTTAACAACCATAGGAATCTCATCTTCATGAAATTCACAGTAATCAAGATAGTTGCAACCTAATTTGGCCAGAGCATCAGCACAGCCATTCCCCTCATGAAAAATATGAGTAATCTTAAAGTTAATGTTAGAAAGATCCTGCTTCAGTTGCCTAATCAAATAAAAATTCTCAGCATTAAATAACTTGGAACTGTTAAGATAGTGTAAAATGAGCATAGCATCAACCTCAATCCAAACTCTGTTAAACCCAAGCTTAATACAAATACTGATGCCATAAATAAGCCCATGTAACTCAGCCAGGAACGCATAATTACCCGAAACAGGACCCGCAAATGCATAAATCACCTTACCAAAGTGATTCCTCAAAATACCACCACAACCAGCCACCTTCCCATTATAAGAACCATAAGTATTCAACTTAATCCAATCAGGATCAGGTTTAAGCAAGGTAACAATTCTATCCCTCCTCTCAATAAGAGCTGAGATGTTAGAAATACCAAAATAAGGAAAAACCTTACAACAACCTTTGAAATTCTGAGGTTTAATGATGTCAGAAGCATACAACGTACATCTTAATTTTATCACAAATAGAACGGATAATACGAGAGGCATACATCTTGGTGCCATCATGTTTAGCTTCGTTTCTACTCTTCCAAAGAAACCAAATAATAGTCATAGTAAGGCAGTTCCTAATATGACCATTAGCATTAACAAACCAACATTTCATAATGTCAATAATGCTCTTAAAACTGTGATGGATGTTGAACTGAAAATTTCTTCAAAATGCAACCAAATAGTAACCGCTATAGGCCCATTGGCCAACACATGGTTCAAGGATTCAATATGATGACAACAATAACATTTAGACACAATTTGAAAACCTTTTTTCTTAAGATTGGTGTCAACATGCATAAAATTAAAAATCACCCTCCAAGTAAGAATTGAAAAAGAAGAGGGAATGGAATTATGCCAAATAACAGAAAAAGGGATTTTGAGGTTTATTCTTTTTAATATAGTTCCAAGCTTCCTTTAAAGCAAATTGACCATTATGAGACTGAGTAAAAAGAATGCAATCCTCTTTCTCCCTTTGTAAAGGAATTTTAATAATGATATTAATGATAAAATCAGGAACATTCTCTTTCAGTAAATCAATATTCCACACCCTATTACAAAAGAAACTTTTAAATAATAAAGTAGAAATAGATCTAGTATTAAGCAAGTTGTATATGGAAAAATTGCCCAACATTGATCTTGCCAAAAAAACACCTCACCCTTACCCAAACCCCATTGAATCAACTCTTCCATCTCCCCTTGAATGTTGCACGATCTCTTCCAAATGGAAGAGTCACCCTTTTTCGGAAAACAGATCGTGGGGTGCTTGGCCCCACAGTACTTGCGGTGTAAAAACTTAGCCCATAAGCTCTTATTAGATCTAAAGTTAAACCAAAGTTTAAAAAATTGGAGGGGAGATTGATTCAAATTATTGAAAATAAATAATAATAATAATATTAATAAAAAAGAAAGAAAATGTCCTAATAATCCCATTCCCCACAGTCTCCTTATCATAATGGTCGATTAGTTATTGTTGCGTCCTGAAAAATTCGCGGCGGTAGAGAAATATAAAGATTAATGCCTTAGATTTGTACGAAGATCCAGAACACAAGCAGATGAAAGAGATGAGGGTGTAGCGTTCATAGTTAGCAAGCGACAAAGGGCGGGACGACCATAGTCGGCGAGGAAT